ACTAGAACAGGTGGACACAGACAATGTGGGAGTTTATCTGCTTCTTACTAATGATGTCTTTCTTGCCGAAAATCAAATTAGTCTATGCCTCGCTTTATTTAAAACAGTAATAATAAGGTGTATTTGTCAATCCAGAGCACTATATGCATAAGGAAAATGCTCAGCAGTTATCCCTACCCATGGAGTGAAGCCATCTTTGGAGGTTTTACAGTTGTACTTGTACTTTGATAAAACATAAGATAACAATTAAGGAGTTTGCCCGCGCTGTTAGCCATAAATCCTACAAAAATCTTAAACTCCCTCAAAGTTTCTTCACTTTGTGTATTAGTGGTGTTGTTCCAAGCTTAACCGTCCCGACCTCTAGGCTTTATAATCGGCTACTAAACTAGGCGAGGTTTAGGCAGTACATCGTCAAGGAATTGAACCAAGATGACGTATGAGGCTGGCGAGCATTGTAGCATTAAAACACTGGAGATTATACGTTTTGGTAGGCATAGATACTCCTGTTCAGTGTCCGAGGTTGATTTGGTCGATAAATGAAGTTTCATTCGTCAAATTATCTTTTATTATTTTTCACAACTCATTGCGTATTTCTGAATCTTTAATTCATTTTCCTAACGGTTTAATTTTTAATATTTTGTGGGAAAATTTATGCTTTAACAATCTTCAGATGTTTCTGTTGACATTTCTACCTATTTAGACTAAAAATTGGCAACCTTCTGCTGTCTAACTTTTTAAAGTCACGGCGTTCTCACTCCGTTTTAAAAATACCAAAAATAACCCATACATGTTTGTGTATGGTGGTAGCTCTAGCATTCCGGCAACAAAATGCCAAACACTATGTGCAGAAAAGGCTTGTCCTACTACTCATTCTACCCCGTGTCTTAAATTTCTTCCTACTTATTTGTTTTAATTATTAGTAAGTAATTCCTCGTTATCACTACTCCTACATATCCCATTTATACATCTGACTGTTGAGTGCTTTGTTCTCGCCTTATTCACACCTGTTAAGTAGACAGTTAATTACCTTGTTCCCCTCTTAAAGTAAAGGTCTTATTCATTAAAAAACTTTCACACCCTTACTTCCATTATGTCGGTAACTTTTGCGTGAATTTCTTCCAATCTTTAGAAAACACTAATGGTTAACTGCCTCAAATTATGTTACCTTAGCAACATCACTATTAAATAAAAATACGATTATACAGCCTTTGAAGATAACTTCGTTGATAGGATAACTTTTTTTCGCTGAATTCTGTCTTATTGTCCATTGATAAATTTATAATAACTGCCTTCAAGGTATTTCGTTGACGGTAGCTAACTGTGGAATCAAGGACCCACTTTTCATTCGATTTATAACATATAAATTTAACTTTCTATAGTTTGGTTTGTAAGGATTAGTTATGTTTTACGAGTTGATCACGGATTGATATCAGTTAGAGAACCATTGAAAACCAGGGAGTACTGGACAGCTGCTGTGTCATCCTAGTTTGGGAATCATCGGCAGTACGCACCCACTGGGTTTCGAACCAAGGACCTTCCGGTTACAAGGCAAGCTCGTATACCATTCAGCCACTGGGACCCAATTCAATGGCTCGTGAATTCTAACTTCTACCAATTCGTGATTTAGCGCGACCCCAACCATTGTCGTTGGTGGGACACCCATCCGCACACGTGACATCTAATTGGAACTCACTGGTCACGACTTCTCACTAGAACTCAGGAAACTCCAACCTGTAGCAAGTCACTAGCGAGCATCCCTGGTTTTCAATGGTTCTCTAACTGATATCAATCCGTGATCAACTCGTAAAATTATAAATTAGATGTATATGAATCCACCTTTACGTCATAGTGTGCCCCAGTGAGACTCACACTCAATAACCAACTATTAAGACACCAAAGGGTTATCCATTAGACTGATGGGTTATCAAATAATATCATCGTGCCGTTTTCACTCGGTTTCGCAGTTACCATCAACTTGTGGTCAAATGTGACAAACCTTCATTTTTATTAAACTAAGTTGATATCATATTTCATTTGAAAATTTATCCACAATTCGTTAAATTGTGTTTGCCATTAAAACTGGGGAGTTTCTGCCGATGAGAATGTTTTTCACATATTTCTGAATATGGCTGCTAATGTTGGAATATTTATGGTGGACGATTGTGGTAGAAATCCAAGCTAGTAATTCAGAGACTGGGCTGGCTGCCACGACTCGGATTTTCTTATCACCTTCCCAATCATCACGCATGACATCGGTCTTAGTCTACTATCACCTGACTATCATAGATAGTCTTGCCGGCAACTCATGTATCTGTGAATTACACTCACAATCAGGTTTAATCAAGGATTGGTATCAGTTATAGAACCATTGAAAACCATGGCGTACTCGACAGCTGAATTCTTCTAGCTTGGGACTCATTGGAAATGGGCATCCACCGGGGTTCTAAACCAGGAGCTTCCGGTTACAAGACGACCTCGTAAATCATTAAAGCGGGTATGTCGCAAATTGACAGAGGCGAGAATTTACGGAAAATTCGCTTGAGTCACAGTGGGTAAATGGTATGTCAGCTTTTTCGTGACCAGATGGCCTTGGATTCGAGTCCTGGTGGTGGATGTGCACTGCCGATGAGTCCCAAAGTTTGGTTTACAATTCAGTATTGTAATCCAGGTGTTCAGTGGTAGAGTGTGCTTGCTAACCGCAGATATAGTCCATGTTTGATTCTTATCTCATGCATTTTCCAAAAACTCTCCTAGTTTACCAGCTGGTATCAAGTTCAGAAAAGAAGAAAGGTTGGTCGTCAGGTTAGGTTTGAAGTCAATAAAACAATCTAATTTCATAAATTGAATAACTATGGATTGAACATCACAGATAAACACCACAAATGTACTAAGAGTTTATCACATTTCGAAGAATTAGACAAATGAATTGAACAAAACTTAGAAAATAAAGGGAGACACTTGAAATGAGGAGAAAGAAAAAGTTGAAAATACACTAGAAGTGGCTCTCTTGACACACTGGTTTGGTGGATAGCTCCGTGACCTTTAAGAGGATAGGTACTGGATTTCAACCTTGGTGAATTTATTGACAGAGCAAGTGCATTCAAGTGACGAACTCAAAAGAAGAAACATTCATCCTAGATTCTTTAACTAGCCGCCACCATCAAACCAACCATTGCATGCAACAAGGCCTTTCTTATTCCACCAAGATATTCTAATCTTTTAAATATTTCATATTCGTTTGGTTGATGGTGACTAGCAGGGGAATTCAGCATGAGGGTTTCGTCCTGTTTGGGACTCGTCATCTGGATATACCTACAGGAGGAAATCAGAGTCCTTAACTCCGCTGCTAGTCAGAATTCAGTAAATTACTTTAGGTCAATCCTCAGATATCATTAATTTGTCCCCGCTAGGGAGCCGACATGTCGATACAAGTCGAAAATTTCGATTTAATCAATCAAAACTGAATTGAAAACTCCACATCTATGTTTAAATTTTGTATTGTTAAAATTGTTATTTTTTCTACTGTAGTTAATTCTGTGAATAGGATAAGTTGTATGAAATGTTTGTCTCTTTAAAGATCTTGGTAGATTGTTTTAATATTACACTGTGGCACTAGAATAAACATTGAAAAACACGTTGCACTGATCATGTATGCCCTATTAGTTGTACACCGTTCAGGAGGATTAATGATAAACTGGGTTAGAAATGGAGAGTCTGTGCGACAAACACTGAGGTTTTTCTGTTCTAACTTTTATTGGTTTGCATAATTTGGATACTAAATTTAATACCATTCGTCAGTAAATTTCTTTGCAAAGGACTTAGTTGACTTCGAAAAATGTAGGGATTTTTTTGGCGACTAGACGCTAGCAAAATAGTCACAATCTAAATGATGTTTTTAGGCAATAAAAAGCCTCCTTAAAGCATATAACTACTGCTCAAACCTTCCAAATGATGTTTTACTTTTTAAAAGAAGAGATATGAAGATGGCAAATGAGTGCATCTTTTCGTGATCTTGAGGGTTTCCAAGCGACTGAAAAAATTTCAATTAGGGATTTGAAGATAATATGCCATTTTAATGGAGAAAAAGCTAGGAAGAATATTTTTGAGGATACTAAGTAACTTAAGTTTCACTCCTTTTAAATCTTTGCCAACCATGATAATAGTAAGTATATACTGGAATTCAGGTCAATATTGTAGCCATTTTAAGGCTGCTATGCCTTTTCCTTGGAAGATGGACGTCATGAAGACTTCTATAACTTTCAACAACGAATGATAGATGACTTCGTTCGACACTGAAGGCCTAACATCCCGGGAGAAAGGAGAAACAACAGGTAACTCTACCAGTACACCAGACAACAACATACTGTGTGCGTCGGTGGCACAGTGGTTAGGACTCTCGCCGACCATGCACATCGTCCGGGGTTCGAGCTCACGCCGACGCACACCTGATATCTATGGTCGGTCTGCAAAATTTGGGCTACCGATACCCATGCTGAAAATTCCATACTTGTACCAAAAATACAGTGTGGAATCAAGCTGTAATCAAAAAAAGACAAACATGTGAAGGGAAACAGAAAGGGATTGTACATTTGCCAAGAACACCGTTGAGTGACACTGACTGAATTCTACCAGTCTATTTGCGGTATGGTTACCAATCCAGGTGACTCACCATCATGACACACTTTTAGATTTAGTATTAGATAGATGAAGGCAATCGATAAGAAGGCCTCAATAAACGTTTTTTCTCTGAGCAACCTTGCCTCACTTATTGCTGCGGTCAGAGATGCTACTACGAAGTTGTTCAACTTGACAACTAATCCCCTGTAGGACTGTTGTGGTTAACTTGACTAATCACTAAATTTATTCTTTTCAAACTAAATTCCACCTTAATCGATACTTTCCTCTTTTTCTTTTCTACCAGAATGAATATTGGTCCAACAGTACTGTTGGAAAACAGCAACAACAACAACACTACACCAAGAACACGTGATATACCTTCAATGTCAACATCACTAAAAAGTAATCTGAGTGAAATGAAAACTGGCCTATCACAGTCTTCATGTTTATCTGGTGGCCTTTATTCCAATTGTTCAATGCTCAACCTGCTGGATCAGTCTAGATGTCAGCGACAACTGTCACCTGTATTAACTTGTATTAATGATGATACGAATAAGGAGAGTCTTTCTAGCTGTCGACTAACAAATCATTATAAAAGTGATATCAGCAGTTATGGAAGTGATACATTATTGTTCAATAAAGATAACAGCGATATATTTTCAGGTCAACAATTGATAAATCATAGCTCAGCGCAACACTTGAGATTGATTCACCCGATGACAACGACGACGGTAACAACAAAAGACGAAGGGGAAGGGGGAGAGGAAACAGTGGATTGTATTACAACAAGACGAAGACTGCCTCCATTAGGTAGAAGTGACAGTGGTGAGACAGGTTTCCAGTTCATTTCCAATGAAAAGAGTCAATTGAGTGATATTAAGGCACCTATAATTAAAATTAATAATGATGATAGTAGTAATATGATCGAATTTAAAATTATTGATCATGTCAGGCATGGTAAATCGGAAGGGTATACTTCTACGGGATTGGATAGACATCGGGGCAGCAGTGTTGACAGTGAATACAAGTAGGTTCTATATGTTCGTCTATTACAGTTATATGTATTCATATTTGTTTATTTAGTAGGCCAGTGTTAAAAAACACTAGCTAAGATTCCTTTATTTGATGATGTTAGATGACTGGAGGTAATCGGTAGGAAGCCTAGCCTTCGACCTACGTCTCGTGTTGTTTGTCACTCACGTGCCAGCAAGGCGTATCTGAAACCTCAAAGCAACAACTCATGTTCCTTATGAAATTCAAACCCGCATCATCCAGTGCTACAGTCATAGACGTTACCACTGAACTATTCAGGCTCGCGAATGACCTCCTGTAGGAGACTAGTGGATACTTTGACTGGCTTTCTGCCGGTTGCCGCCAAACAACCAATAACATCAATGTGCATCGTGATGGTGAGCTACCTAGAATGCTGGCCACATTGTGAACCTGACTGATAGAATTCGGTCTGCACCAAACAAAGGACCAGACACATCACAGTAGTTACTAGCGTCCAGTCAGTGTATAAGTTTATTTGGCATAACATATTCACATAGTGATACCGTATTAATAACTGGATGAGTTGGGTTCACTGCTTATAATCATGTATTAATGCCCTAATATATGGTTTGGTAACTTACTTTATACAGTTTTACTCACTCCTGCTTTTTGCCACGACTTTTCACATATCCAGAATAGGCACTGCGTTATTTACACTGCGCGTATTTGGTATTGATTCAATGAAAAGAGATTCAGTGATTAACCTCTCTTGCCATCTAAATATATTACTCTTTAATACATCTACCTTGTCACACCCTGTGGAATGATTACATGTAAGTAAATGCAGTGCAATGGCTGAGTTTCTTTTCTAGGTTGTTTCACTTTGTGGGGTCAATCATTCTAGGTTCGAGCATCTAATTGATCCCGATCTACTAGTTTGATTTGTATAAGTAGCCTCACCAGCAATCATTACGTGATATTTGGTATATTATAGTATTATATTTTCTAATTGGATCTATTGGGCCCTTTGGCTGACAAATTTAATCTCTGGGTCAGTTTTTTCCTTTCACATTCCCCAGTGGAACATAGGGCCTCAAGCTAGAGACTTGAAGTTTCTGTAGCAGTATGTAATTTTACAGCGTGGGGTTGCTAGCCTTATGCCCAACCTTTCGTGGCTTGGTGAGGTAAGGGAGTGCGTCGATCGGGGATCGTACCCCGGACCATGTGCATAGTCGGCGAGCGTCCTAACCAGGTCAGTTGGTTGGTTTCAGTGTGACCCTAATTACAGCCTCATTCAGTATCCTGCATAAACTCTCGAACATGCCTTCTGTATACGACAGTATTCCAGAAGCTTTAAAATTCTATGTTATTTCCGTTATTTTTGTCATTTTCACAAGTTATCTTATTTTCTCTATTGTTCTTCATATATTTCTGAATAAATTCTGGTGGGTGGTAGTTATTCACTAGTAATACTTTCTTTATTTGTTTAATTTCATTATTTAAATCTTCTAGCCTACTCGTTAGGCTCTTGGCCCGATTATAAAGACATTTAACTAAACCTATCTTTACGGATTCTGAATAGGATGAATTAAAGTCTAGGTATTCAGTAAAAATATGGTGGTCTCCCATAGATGCTAGTATCTAATCCACCATCCTGTTTTCTGTTCTAGAACAGCTCACTCACTATGTTAATTTTTTTAAACTCAAAAGTGAATTGAATTCTATCCACTGATGAGTTTATACATATATGTAAAGAACTTAGCATTGTGTTCAGGTTTTAACAGAGTGAATGTGTCATCCATATATATCAAAGCTTTCTAAGAGCTTTAATTCCCTAACTATCCATAAATATATCTGCAACTATTAGGGATATTGGGGATTTCATCGCTACCACATTTGTTTCTTTGTATATTTCGTTAGACATAGGTGAACACCTTTTTCCAGTCAAAACCTTTGTCCTATTTATTAGTCTAGCGTTGATGTTCACAGTTCATTCTTAACTGCCTGTAGAGCTAAAATAAATAAATCAGAAAACTAGATGATAAACTTGTTACATCAAAACTAATCATTTTCTCTCATCCTTTTTTTTTATTACAGTTTGATTCCACACCGTAATTTTCGGTACAGGTATGGCATTTTCAGCATGTGATATCGGTAGCCCAAATTTGCAGACCGATAAAAGATATCAGGTGTGCGTCGGCAGGGGATCGAACCTCAGACCATGTGCATGGTCTACGAGAGTCCTAACCACTATGAATTTCTTCTAGCTTTCATTTCATTTCCTATTGCCATTAGGAAACTAAAATATTCAAAGTACAATATACAAGCTGTTCAGTAGCATTATTAATATTACACCAACCAATATCAATTGTAGATCACTGAAAACTAAGGAGCGATGAAGAGTCGCCTTCAAGTCCTTGCAAATCTTCCCCGTTAAATATCAGTCGCCAGCATACTGATTGCTACTGGGCGCACATACTGAAAAGTCTTGACCGATGGGATTCCACCACGTGAGGATAAAGCAGATGCTTTTCGAAGGCGTATTGGTTGAATGTAACACTTTATCACAAACTGAAAAAGTTTGAATTCACAGGTTATCGAATTCCTGCCAAAGTGGTTGAAGGTCCCAGGTTCGATCCCTAGTAGGATCGTGGGTGTGTACCGCTACTGAATAATCCTAAACTAGAACAAAGTAACTGTTCAGTTACTGCGGGGTTTACGCCAACCTCTCTAACTAATGCTGGTTTATGAGAGAAGCTACACATTGAAATTCATATGAATACCTACAAAATCTCATAATCTAAATATTAATAATATTCAAGTATTGGTTTTTAGGGATTTGGTTGATTGGTTACAGGATTTCATCATGAGTTGACATTAGTTAGAGAACCATTGGGAAACCTGGGAGTACTGGACAGCTGTTTCGTCCTACTTTGAGACTCTTAAGCAGTGCGCACCCACCCTATTAGGGTTCGAACCCAGAACCTTCTGGGTACAAGGCGAGCTCGTAGACCATCAAGCCACTGCGACCCGATCCAATGGCCCATGAATTCTAACTTCCGCTAATTGGCGACACAGTGCGACCGCCAGCCAATGTCTTCGGCGAGTATTTATCCTCACACCCGACCTCGCCGAAGACATTGCCTAGCGGTTGCGTTATATCGTGAATTGGCAGAAGTTAGAATTCATGGGCAATTGGATGGATTCCCAGTGGCTTAATGGTCTACGAGCTCGCCTTGTAACCAGAAGGTCCTAGGTTCGAACCCTAATAGGGTGGGTGCGCACTGCTTAAGAGTCACAAAATAGGCTGACGAAACAGCTGTTCAGTACCTCCGGGTTTTTCAGTGGTTCTCTAACTAACGTCACCTCATGATGAAATCGTGTAACCAATTAATAATATTGTCAGTATTATTCAGTAGGAGAGTTAGGCGTATCAGCCGCTTAATAAGCAGCGAGATATTTTTATCTGTTTGAGTAGCTTTGATTCCTTCAGGTGATTGAAACATTGAAAACAGTTGATGAAGTCTGCTTGAAATAAATGATAAAAGGACGAACATTATTACTACTATATTATTATTATTTGATGTGAACTGTTTTCAGTTGACACATACCCATCGGTTCAACATAACATCAAATAATCAATAGTCTTATAAATTAATAATATAACAAACCTAAGATAATAAATAGTCTGTATATAAAATTTTACTACCTATTTTTCCCAATCCCTAACTAACCAACTATCTATCTATCTATCTATATTAGGATATTTATTGATTATTGAAAATCAATAATTTTACTTTAGATACAAGTTTAGCAGATTAAATAGGCGTAGAGTTTAGAGTAAAAGTAGGTAGGGCTGGTAAAACTTTTAACTAATCTATAATTACTGCTTTAATTGTCTGTCCTCATCTATATATATGCTGATGACCTTGATAATATTAAAACATATATACACATCTATACTATATGTGTGTATCTCACTGATTTGAGTTCTACTTATTGTTGCATTCCCATTCTAAGGAGAATAGTGACTGCCTAGCTAGCTGGTTTGCTGGATGGATAGATGGATAGATAGGTAGATAGATAAATAACTCGAAGGCTAGATACAGCTGTCCAACAGAGTCACTAGCCAATTAGCATTCACAATCACAGAAATTTCTCACTCCATTTCCTCATTCCTAAGTAGGGAAAATTCTCCCATCTCCATCTTTTTCTTCTTCTTCTTCTACTGGTTGCTGAATTCTAAAACTTCCTCATGTGTCTGCCTAGCCTACCTACTTACCTACATGTCTGTCTATCATCAGCATAACTACTATTTATACTACTGTTATTTTAGTATTAGTAGTCATGGTAGTAGTTTAAGTTCTCCTGCTAGAATTACCCTTATTATTCTGTTATTGCTGCTCCCACCCCACCTACACAAGATATAAACATGACGAAATGAATGGTAAAAATATCCGTTAAATGTATTTTGCATGTGCATACATGCAGAGGTTTTGGTTGATAAAATAAACAAATAAATAACAACAACAACACCAAAGTATTGATTGTTGTTCTTGTGGTGTTGTTTCCCCTCTCATTTATCATTGTTACATATATATAAATATTTTTCTCGGCTGAGGTTATATTAGGTAAAGAGTCAATATGTCATAATGAGATATTGCCTATATTTTAAGTTAATGTAAAGGGAAGAGGTATGTGTATGCTTTGTAAGTGTGTGTGTGTGTGTGTTGTTGTGTAGCGTGTTTCAACCAACTGGTTTGGTTGGTTGGTTGGTTGGTTGTTTTTTGTTTTCTAGTGAACTTTAAGGTCAACTTATTTTCTTCTGTTTATTTATTCCACAGTGATATTATGTCACTGATATATACTTTTTTGTTGTCTAAATTGTTTATTTTGTATTCCCTGTTAGTTGACTGAGTGATTATTAGATAGATGGTTGGAGGTAGTCGATAGAAAACCCAGCCTTACCTGATCTAGGTTTTATGCCTGTTGGCAGTCAGCAGTAGGCGAGGCGTAACTGCAATCTTGAAGGAGAAGTTTATACCCCTTATGAGCTGTGATGCAGGCAGAGAGATGTTACCAGTTAGCTATTGGGGCCTGTGACTCACCTCCTGTAGGACTGTATTAGATAATTCCAGTAGATGCAAGGCATTAACTAATAATCTTGTGCCTAATTCTTCCTTCAGGACAGACTGATTTCTGTCAGTCAAGTGTCCAGTGAAAGTATCCACTATATTTCTACAGGAGGTCACTCGCGAGCTCCTACAGCTCAGTGGTAATGTCTGTATGATTGCAGCACTGAGTGACGTGGGTTCGAATTTCAGAAGGGATGTGAATTCCTTCAAAAGTTCAGGTATGCCTTGCTGACTGGTGAGTGCTAGCAAGCACGAAAGCTGGTTAGGCAAGACTTCCTGCAGATTGCTTCTAATCATCTAACAACAATTTAGAGTGCACCATGATGGTGAGTCACCTAGCATAGTGACCAAATTGTAAACTTTAATGACAGAATCCAGTCGACACTAAAAAAAAATACTAGGCGCGTGATATTAGTTACTTTCCAGTCAAAGTGATTGACCGATTAGTTGGTCGGTCAGTGGTTGAATGCTGGCCAACCACGTGTGTCATTTGGAGTTCAATTTCCGGCTGGGATACAACTAAATGTCACCCAATCAGGCATACGGCTGGCAATTGCCCCCCTTCCTAAGAACAAGAACACTATAGTTAATGCAACTTCATAGCTTCATGTCTGTGACTCTGTGTTCTACTAGGAAGGAGAGCAAAATGATCCATATTTATCGCCATATCAGTATCTGACCCAGAAGCTTCGACGATGTCCTGAGGCAAAGATGATATTATTTGTTTGGTGATGACTAACAATGAAATCCACGACATGCCTTTCGTTCGCTTGGTATTTATCATCTAAAGGTACTAGCATCCTCATTGATACTCGAACTTAGCACTCATAGTCTGAAATGCATGATGCGATGTACCAGACTAACAAGCCACAAGAGCCATCTCATGTGCAATAGGCATCAATGATTGTTGGATTTATTTTACACTTGCTCTGACTGATTGATTTAAGTTGATTGAAAGCCGTGTCAAACGAATCAAAATGATCTGAAAATGATGCGGCTGTTTGGCTTTTTGATTCTACATATCACCTTTTCTTCCAAGTAGTCAGTCGCAAACGAACTGTTTGAGCTGAATAAACCCTGGCACCTTGCTGACTGGCTCAGCTCGACGAGGTTTACAATCACTACTACTACTACTACTACTTGATGTGATCCAGTTGCCAAATCTTCTATCTAGCAAATGAAATAATGTGTTTTGAATTTATTTCTGATTTTAATGGGAAATATCAATGAATTATCGGCATAAACTGTGTGATTCATCAGTGTATGTTATTGAGTACTGACTTTTGGTTTCCCCTGGATGAGTTTAAGCGAAGCGCATGAATATCGCTGATACGAATATGAATCAAAAACCAAAGCAGCCCAAGTTACCAACAGTTCCAAAAAAAGGTCTTATTCTTACAAATACCGTTCCTCGGGGACAACACCAGCGAGATACTAACACAGCGCCTTAGAAGTGCGGTAAAAACAGCATTCATTCCCTGCTGCTACCGAATTACGCTGTATCTTTAAAACCACTCCTCTTTTGCGTTCGGAAGTAAAAGACAAACTTCCTAATTTAGCCTCTTCATGTGTAACTGCTCCAGTGGAGCCAGTTACATAGGCCGTACAATTAGGCGTGTTTCTCGTCGAATTTCCAAACATCACCCTGCACAGTGGTTGGTTAAGCAAAGGACAAACAAAATCCGTTCGCAGCGCTATTCTGTCTCATCTTGTGGATACAGATACATACAAGATTGACGTTGACCATGCTTTCAGGGTCATTTGCCGCATACCTAAGAATCTCACTTTTGCCTTAAGAGTTCGACTACTATATATTGTTGGGGCTGTTGGGATCCATATTAACAAGCCTAATTTATGCATCCAAAAGAAGTTAGTTTAGACATTATCATTACCTTGGCCATCTAGTTTTGAGTGATCCTCAATATTTGTGGAATTTTCCTAATTTTAGTTGATATTTTATTTGCTACTGTATCTTTATTACTGTTATAATTTAAGCATCTTTAATGAACTGTAATTCCATTGTGATCTTACTTTACAAATCGATATTATTTAAAAAACACTGATATGGTTATTGACTACTAATCTAGAATATTCCATGTATATAAACCCACGTGTATATAATTGTAGAGCCAGAAGAGGAATTTACCGAAAAGAATATTCTTTGCTCGATTATTTTGTGTTTTATATATGTCTGAATGAATATTTTTACTATATTGAATATAATTTTGTTTGTAGTGAGGTCATGTAATAAGTTCATTGGTTTACAGAAATCCGATCATAAACCTGACTGACAGTTCAGAGTAATTCATTTACGAGTGGCATATTTATGTGGTTTGATTTCTCTCCAAACTTAACTTTAAACTTAAAATGGGTTCCAAGAGGAATGTAGAGCTTCAGCAATGCATATCCATTTTGTTCTATTTTCTGCCGTCCTCTGCACCTGGGTCTACGACTGTCTAAAGTCTCTCACCTCGCCCCCCCTCCTCCCTAACACACGATCTCCTCCATGTCACCATCGCACCGACGTCTTACTCGTCATTTCCCATTGAGGTTCCACTCGAGATATGGCCTGCATTGTGCGCCATGTTATTCAAGGGCCTCCTCAACGTATGCCCCATCAATCCATCACCATTTTCTCCTACGTAATCATTGAGCAGTCGGCTCTTGGTTGGTTTTTCGCCAAGAGGTTGGTCGAGCAGTAGTGTTAACTCGTTGGAATGCAAAGCGTCTTCACGAGGTGATAAACAATCATATTATTGTGGCTAGTTTCTTTAACTGAGATGGCTTTCTTTTCTAACTGGAAATCTAACAGTATCTAACCTATGAAATAAGGAGGTCTGAAAACTGTCTAGACTGCTTTCACTTCTTATTTTTATCACCCCTGTGCGTTCTAAGTGAAACATAGAGCTTCAAGCTGGAACTCTGAGTTTTTAGTAGTAGTGTAGTGAGAGGTGGCCGTGAGAAAATATGAGCATGGCTGATTCAACAACCAATCACAGCAGACTTAACGTGACAAAATATGATTCGCAGATAGAGAACTCTATTTTTCGAGGAATCCCGAAACAACCAATCAGAAGCCTGCGTTTGTCTGCTTAACTTCTGATAAACAACCAATCAGAAGACTGCGCTTGTCTACTTGCATAAGCTATAATAATGTATGTGAAATATATATAAATACGTGTTGATTTTCATAATAAAACGATCTGTTGCCTGGCCCTTGTCTTCTGTTGTTACAGTAGTAGTGGTAGTCGTGGTGTTTGTTTTTCACAAGTTGGGGTTGCTAGCCTCACATTCAGCCTTCCCTCCTTACCGGGCTTGCTACCGCCTAAGCGAGGTTTAGTTGTGTGTGTGTGTGTCAATGGCCAGGGATTGAACTCCGAGCCAAATGAGGCATGGCTGTCGAGTATTCTACCACTTGACCATCATTGATGTATGTGTATTTCCTTTATTTGAGTTGTTTGGGTGTTTGCACACCGAATGAGGGATTTAGCTGGCGTTATTGAGAAGTCAACGAAAATTCATTAAAGTATTTGTTCCTATTTCTCATAATTTTATACTTGATATTAGTTGGTGATAAAACTCAAAACTGGGAAGTACTCATTAAAAACTAAAAGGTATAACTTGAATATGGATAAGGACGGGTATAAAATGTTCTAAAGGATGTAGTGATTCATAGTATGACGAGTGTGTGTGTGTGTGTGTGTAAATAAGCCATTGATTTTTAGCAGCAATGGGGTGGATATGCGAATACTTAGGCACTTGAGAGATACAATCCACATATGCTAGGACTCTAAAATGTGGCCTATGGAGTTTTTGATGTCCTTTGATAAATAATCAAGAAGGTTTACATGAACTCCTGAACATTTGCAGTAGTAGTTTCTATGTCTGATTTCCCACAAACTGGAAGATATGCACGTGAAAAGCAACAAGTTGGAAGAAGAAGCACCCGGAGAAGATAGGACTACAGGTGAACATAGAGAAAACAGAGGTGATGAAGATTCCTGTCCGACAACAACAGCAGCAACAACAATAGACAACAATCAGCATAAATGGAGGGAACGTGAAAGAAACAACCTCCTTTACCTACCAGGGAAGTATCGTTTCAACTACAGGAGGAAGTGACGAAGATATCAAAGCAAGAATCGGAAAAGCAAGACAGGCTTTCATTACCCTTAAGTTTGTGTGGAGGTCAACAGCACTCAACATCAAAAATAAGATCCAGATTTTCAACTGCAATGTGAAGTCAGTGCTACTATACGGATCAGAGACTTGGCCAGTGCGTCATAAAGAGCATCTCCAACAAACGACAGACCTTCATTACCAGTTGTCTTTGCTCAATACTAATCAAGATCAGATGGCCAGAAAAGATCAGCAACAGGATCTCTGGCAATGAACGAACCAATCAAGAACTGATTGTGCAACAAATATGCAGGAAGAAATGGAGGTGGACTGACCATACTCTGAGAAAATAAACCATCAAGTGACATCACTAGACAAGCCCTCGAGTGGGACTCTAAAGGGAAGCAGGGAGTTGGTCGTCAGTGAGAGCGTGACATGGAGGAGGTAATGTGAAGAGGAGATGAGCCGGGTGAAAACTTTAACAGAGAACCGAACATAATGGAGACGTGCAACTGAAGCCCTATGTTCCTCTAGGAATTGAGGGAAATAATAATAGTTCCTATCGTAAACTACTAATGACCAGTTAAGAAGGCTCTGGAACACCTTTTGCTCACTAGTGTACGCTAGCTTTTTGTATTCCTGCAAGTTCCCAGTGGAAGATAGGGATTCAAGCTAGAGTCTTGAAGTCTCGATAGTAGTGGTGGTTATTTTTACAGGAAGGGGTTGCTAACCTCATTCATGCTCAACCTTCCCTCTTTACCAGTCCTATTACTGGTATAGCGAGGTAAGAGAGGAATGCGTCGGCCGGGAATCAAACCCTGGACCACATGCGTGGTTGACAAGCATTCGACCAGTGTGCCACCCAGGCACAGTGTACGCTAGTGATGGTATCGAATGTTTAAATTTCTTTTTTTATTGCCCAACATTGTGATATACGTCCTTGATTATGAAAGTCGCCCTGACCTTTGTAATTAATCAAAAATTTAAAATTTCTTATATATGCATATACTTTTTTACATTTCTTTTAAAAATATTTTTCAGTGACAAAACTAAAACACCCTGTCCAGGATCTTCCTATACCAGTTATACGATCCAAATGAAGAGAAAATCGTATGTCAATATTGTCATAATCGTCTACCAAGTTGTACACATCAACTGAATTTAACACCATTCAAAACAGATACACAATACAATAATTCCCCTCCATCCCTTTCAGCATCACTTTCACACCATGAAGATCGATTGAATGTTATCAATTCACTGTCATCGTCAAGGCATAAAATTGAATCGCATACATCACTTTCTAATCCTCAAAAATCTACCAATCATAATCAATATTTTGATAAAAATAATAATAATATTAGTAGTAGTAGTAATAATAATAGTAATGAGTATACGGACAATAGTAATCAAAATACAATTAAATATATTCATTCATCAGATTCTTGTGTTGAAAATATGCACATTGTAACATCAAGTCAATATTCAATTACTTATATTACAAATATCCAGTGTTCTCAATCATTTTGTGCACATTCTGAATTGAAAAGACAAAATCTCGCTTGTAATGTGATCACTACTAGCACTAATAGTACTACGGACAATAATGATATTAATGTCCCCAATAATAGCAATAATAATCATTTACGAAATAAATGCGATACAAATATGAATACTCATGCTGGTTCAGAGTCATATTTCGACACAAGTAAATTTGTCGCACGGAACATTTGGTTGCATAATACTACTACCACTAATAATAATAATAATAATAATAACAGTAGTAATAATGATAATAATAAATTCACACCGAATATGAAAACAGATAGATCCTATTCGGATTCAGTCGCCGGAACATTTCAGCGGATATCATTGTATTTTACAAATGATAACTTGAATCCCAGTACCAGTAATAATGGCGGCGGCACGAGTGGTGCTGCTGGTAGAAGTAATAGTAACAATAATAATAATAACAGCAGTAATAATAATAGTAATATTTTTTCTAATTCCTCCAAAGATAAACAATACATCAAAGCAAATATTTACAATAATATCCCAGGTAGTTCAATACTACGCGGTGCGTTAAGAACGTCAATTTCTGAAGCCACTTATCGATCTAGTGGAAATCGTGGCATGCGTAAAGTCAACCAGCGTACCGTGTCAGTACCAACAGTTTCAACGAATTCATGTCAGACATCATTAATACCAACAAATAAAACAACAACTAATTCAGATGGACATTTTGAAACAATTACTGAGGATAAAAATACTGGTGGAGAGGTAACAGTTGCTAATGAATTAACAACACGACGGAGTATAAATTCAAATAATGCAAGTCAGATTATATCAGATCCTCGTTCAAGGACATGTTGTTTTTGTTGGTGTTGTTGTTGTTCTTGTTCATGGTAAGTAAATGAAGGAGTAATCTTTATTTTAACTCTTTTTATTGATAAATTCTAAGGATGATATGGTTTTTAGGATAATTTACCACTAATAGTTGATCGGTTGTGCTGGACGAGAATGCTCGATATCTGTTGACATGTTGGGTCCTACTTGGGGTGATTTGTCAGCGTCTCAGACTCGGTTGATGGAGACTAACACTGAAATTCAGGATGCTTGCTTCGTCCTGTTCAGGACTCGTCAGATGGATGCACCTGGATCACCAATGAATGATGCTGTTCCCACTGAGACTCGAACCTATCGTTTGAAAGGCAAAAACATTATCTGTAGCACAATAGGTGGTTCCCATGGCCCTCGTAGCCTGGTTGACGGTTCTTTGGCGTTTGAAACCATGGGTGTTTAGTTTGAGCCCCAGAGGAGACAACATCACTTGTCTGGAATGCAGTTGCACTCAACTGATAAGTCCAAAACACGACGAAATGTTATTCCTGAATTCCAGTGCGGTGAAGTTAAATTGTAGACATCAAAAGAGTGAGGCCGCATCAATAACTCTGAATGTTTAGTCAGCAAATCAGTGGAACCAGGTAAAAGGCACTGTGATCATGAATAAAGTATCTTTAATTAAGTATTGTAATATTAAACGAGATATCTGGTAAGCTTTAGGTTAGGTTAACCTAATAAAGGAGATATCACGGTTGGTTCGGGTTACGTTAAGGAAAGATTTAGGTTAGTCTCGGGGTTGGAAGACCTACAGGAATACATGGTAGGAATGTGCCTTAATTACACTCCAATGCAAAAGAAAATTGACAGGCATTTTTATCACATGTCAGAGAAAGGTATCCTGTTTAACAGTTTCACACCTTTTTATTCGTTATTTTCATAAATATACGTGTTTCACACAGACAAATGGCCTTTTCCATGTGATTGGTGAGTTCAAAGTCATTACTGCTTTGCTACATTATGATGCTTAAAGTTTAGTTCCATATCCTTGGCCAGTCATTATGAATGGAAACGATACCATTGTCAATATCAAAAATATTCAGTATATATATTCAAAATACCTGGAATATGTGGTACATTGTGAGTCGGTGGCACAGCAGTCGAATGCTTACCAACCATGCATGTGGTTCGAGGTTCGATCCCCGGCCGACTCACTCCTTTGCCTGATCATGTCTGTAACAGGGTTGGCAAAGAGGGAAGCTTGAGCATGAATGAGACTAGCAATCCCATCCTGTAAAAATAATCACCACTGCTACAGAAACTTTTTACCCTGTATCTTGAAAGTAAAGGAATAAAACAAAAGACGCGGTACATTTGAGGAGTATACTTCAAACACTCTTATCACACGCCTAACTAGTGAGTTCAATTAATAAAAAAATGAAAAACCAATTAAAAAAAACATAAGAATAAGGTAATTAAGACCAATAGGGATAAAAATAAACATCGCTTGTTGCAGTATTATAAGATAAGTATCACCGAAGTTGGGTTAAGGAGTGACAGTAAATTGATTATTATGTACAAAGACAGGGCTTAATTTCACTGATAGTTATCGCCTCAGCCTATTTCATTATAATAAGCAATCTAGTTGATAACACTTTGACGTTTGAAGCAATAGGTGCTTAATCTTAACTACCTTGTCTTTATATCATATGAGAAGACATGAGATTTTTATAGTACAAAAAATTCTCATTTGTATGAGTATCATCTTTAGGATCCACTAATCGTGATAGATGATTGACTTTATGATGTATATATCCCTGATTAAGTGAATTACAACGGGCTCCGAAATTGCGAATGGATGTTGTCAGTAATCTTCATTCCAAGTTTCACCCTAATCTTAACCTTGTCCCGACCGTAACTCTTATATAAGCCCAACCACATCCTACTCTAACCCTAACCTTTCTCAGAATCCAACCCCAGTCCAGACCTAACTGTATTTTAACCCATGCAGCCATGCACTAACCCCAATTGTAACACTGACCCTAAATTAGGATGATGCTTACAACAAAGACTATGAAAAGTATTCTTTTGTAATGAGAGGTGATTTGGCAGCTGCTTTGCTACTAAGGGGTGTCCCATCGACAATTATACATCTCATCCAACAGTTGTACGACAATACTGCATGCCAAGTAATCCACAACGAGAAACTTACGGAATCCTTCGAAGTGAGGATGGGAGTAAGAAAAGATGGCGAACTGCCTACTATCTCCAATGATTTTCCTGATTGCGGTAGATTGGATACTGCAACAGACAGCGGGCAGCGAGGAAACAGGCATAAAATGGATCCAAATAAAAAAACTTGGAGGATCTAGACTTCGCCGATGATATGTTAAGTCTGATTTCCCACAAACTGGAAGATATGCAAGTGAAAAGCAACAAGTTGGCAGAAAAAGCATCAAAGATAGGGAATCCAAGTGAACATAGAGGAAACAGAAGTGATGAAGATTCCTGGGCAATATCGATAGCAACAACAACAACAGACAACAATCAGCTAGCATAAATGGGAGGAACCTGAAAGAAACAACCTTCTCTACCTACCCACCTACCTGGGAAGCATCGTTTCAACTACAGGCGGACGGAACTGATGAGGATTTCAAAGCAAGGATCGGGAAAGCAAGACAAGCTTTCATTACTCTCAAGTCTGTGTTGAGGTCAAGAGAACTCAGCACCCAGCAGGAAAAATAAGATCCGGATTTTCAACTGCAGTATGAAGTCAGTGCTACTATACGGATCAGAGACTTGTTCAGCACATCACGAAGGCCACTTCGAACAAACTACAGACCTTCATCAACAGCTGTCTTCCCTCAATGCTTAAGATTAGATGGTCGGTCTTAAAAGATCAGCAACAGGGATCTCTGGCAATGAGCGAATCAACCAGGTAAGAATCGGTTGTGCAAGAAATATGCAGGAAGAAATGGAGATGGATTGGCCATACTCTGAGAAAACAATCAAATAACGTCACACGCCTTACCACCGCTCGAGTGGAACTCGGATAGAAAGCGACGAGTTGGTCGTCCAAGGGTGACTTGGAGGAGGTCATGTGAAGAGGAGATGAAAGCATGTAGGCAAACCTGGAGCCAGGTGAAAACTCTAGGAGAGAACCGAACTCAATGGAGACATGTAGCTGAAGCCCTATGTTCCTCTAGGAATTAAAGTAAAAAAAATAATAATAATGTAATATTGAGCAATGCGACTCGTTGGTTCACGTCCACTTGGCTATTGTATCGATTCTGTACTCTTGCTGCATTGTGCTAAAGCTCTGAGAGATATGGTCAGTGGTAACGTTATTTTTAAATTACTATAAGGAAAATAATCAAAATAGCATTGAGTTTTATCTTAAAATGCCAGCAGAACAACAGACAAGTGTATCTTGAAAGATTCTTTCTTTTCAAAAGGATTTTAATTGAATTCAGATGAGGATCAGTTAAAGAATCACTGAAAACCAAATAGCAAGAGGTGATAATGGCTTCGTCCGAGTTCATGGCTGTTCAGCATTGCACGATTATGATCCCACCGGAACTGAACTGAGGACTTTCATTTTATGAATTGATTCCATGATCTATGGGGTATAAAGACAGGTGAATTATAGGTGTATAGGATAAAGTCTGTGAAGTTCTAATTAGAAGTCATGACTGGTAGGATTTGCCTATTCCGGTGTAAGAAAACATATATCCTTATGGAATTAGTTAGGAGGAGGGACGCTGCATCAAGAACCCTGTGGATATATAGTCAACGTATAAACTTCACAGCCTAAAAGTCCTGGGTTCGATATCTGGAGGGGGGGGGTGATACGCACACACCGCCGAGGAGTTCTACACTAGACTGACTCAGCTACTGATGCAATAACTGACACCCATTCATGAGCGAATCCAACCCAAATGACGAAACTCAAGGTTTTCACCTTTTTCATGGAGAAATTAATGAGGTAGTGCACCGTTTAAAATATTTTAAATGTATTTAATGCTGCATTTACCCTATTTTCTTGTTTTGACCAACTTAATCGCCAGTACATGAACTGAATATGATGAGGTGAAAACTAGAAGAATAAGGATTTCTGTACAATGTCTGTGTTACTTGTCTTTGGATTAATCTCAGGGGAGATGGTCGAATCTCCTTATGAGGAAAACAAGAACTATGCGGATTATCTAAGCACGTAACAAGTGATTCTTATATTCATAGTATAGTTCACGATGAGAATATGTATGTATGTGTTAGTGGAAATCAATGCAATGCATGAAAACCTGGAAGTGATTCAACTTACATTCTTGATCAGGTCTTCACATTACTATGCAAAGTTACTATTTGTAGATTTTCAAAGAATGAACTTAATAATTTCAAGATATATGTGGTCTGATGAAGACATCAGCTTAAGATCCATCGAAAGATAAGGCTGACTCACTTATGCTAAACAAGAATGGTAAGGGAAATGCAGACATAGTGCACTATTTTAAGCTGAAATGTTAGAGAAGCGCTTTAGGCAGAAAAAATGTTTGTTGTGACACAATACTGCACGAAGATATACGAGAGATGGAGTCATTAAGTAAGGATGAGTGAACATTTTCAAAATCTTGAAAATAATGTCATCAGTCTAATTGACAGTCTTTAACCACTGATTCTTAGCACAACGAGGATCACAACCGCGACATCTACACCTTCCAGGCCAACAGTCAACGACTCTATGGCTTAATAGCATGTTTTCACCTGACCACTTCTAGCCCTTTCGCAAGTTAAATAGGTTTCACCAAATATTTCTTGAGAAAGACCACGGCTCGGAAAACAGTAACACAGACAGATGTCCAAGCCAGTAAAATCAACTCAACTTTGCAGCCTGATTGGTCCATTCTCCCATCTATTAACAGTTGAATTTCACGCTTGAACCAAAAATAACGCAAGTTTCTATTCACCAAAACAAGTTTCTTTTGTACCTATGCTTAGAATGCATCTAAAACCAGCCTATTGGGACATATGAAACTTCTTGAATAGGTGAAGCCATCAGCGAATTCAATCATTTCACTGGCTAACTTTTGAACTAAGAGTAAGAGTCAAAGGAGATAAAAAAAACTTTAGTCATATTAGGCTTTTTTGACTGCAGACTCTTGATGCGAGAAATTCCCTCAACCTATTTATTGTATGTTGCTGATGAATGTATTAAGTGTAGCAGACGTTTTCCAACTACCAACCTGTTATTAGGTGATTAGAAGCAATCTGCAGGAAGCCCCGCCTGACTTAGGCTTTGCACTTGTGGACACTCACTTATCAGCAGGGCGTATCTGTACTTTTGAAGGAATTCACATCCCTCCTGTGACTCGAGCCCATGTCACCCAGTGCTGCAGTCAGAGACGTTACCACTGAGCAGCTATTCGGCCCCGCAAGATTGATCTCCTGTTGAACTGTAATGGATACTTTCAAAGGACACTAGTTAGTAACTAGTGTAACGTGTGTTGTCCCTTGGTGTGGTGCAAACAGAATTCTATCAGTCAAGTTTGAAATGTGGACATGACTTCCTTCAAAAGTGCAGATATGCTTTGCTGACAAGTGCCAATACGCGTGAAACCTAGGTCCAATACCTCCTGCCGATTGCCTCTAACCATCTAATATCAACTATTCAAAGTGCATGTAATAGCTAGTCACCTAGTGATATGGTGGCCACATTGCAAACTTGACCGATAAAATTCGGTTTCCACCGAAGATAGAACTACACACATTATGCTAGTTACTAACTTGCGTCCAATCAATGTAGCTACACTTTTATAAGGTACTAAAATGAAGTGTTTCAGCTGTCTCATGAGGAAATGTAAGTCAAATAATATAGTTCATTTAGATGGATGATTAATTACCTGTCATGTAAAGTAGAATTCAGGTCGAATGAAAAGAGAATGGATAATCACATAGCTTTTCAATTAGAAGTGGCAGTTAAAAGTTGAATACAAGGTTATTTGAATGTTTATGCAACGGTTTAAAGTAGATAGATCCTGTATACATCATCAGTTCTGGCATTTCAGAATTAATAAGAAGCTTTTCTGTGCTTTGCAGCGTCAGTTTCCAAGAGTCTGATTGATTTCATATCATTTTAAAAGACCAATGATAATTAGTTCGTACAGAACTGCTTTTCGTGTTTGTTTGATTCTCCTAAGAACTAGGCGTACATGACCGCACTGAGGACCAAATCCTGAACCATTTAGTCACTCGCATGGATATAAATGGCCTATCAATTCCCACTTCTTTCTATCCGCGACACATAGTACCACAGTTAGCCAGTATCATCGATCAGTACCTATCCTTAGACCCGACTTGCCGTAGCCTACTGATCATGACTGTATACTAGAACTCTAGAAACTCCATTCCTAGTCCTGATCTTGTTTGAGACTTTTCAGCGATGTTTATCCACACATAATCACTCTAAAAGTAGAAGTCGCAGCCATTAAAGCTTCTTAATATTATTATTCTACCACTGGATTGAAATGCAGTATGTCATTAATTTCAATATAGTATGAATTTATTGCACGGTTTTATGAATACATATTACCAGGAAGAGTAATCACTGTCAAATTTTGTTTATTCATCAGTTTACGATAAAATCCTCGTTGTAAGTAAACAGTTCCTTAGAAAGCTAGACATTTAATGGCGCTTTTATTGCCCACTATATCTAGGTCGAGGCGAATACGACTCTTAATTCGAAGTCCTCGTCGTTCATATTTAGCACTGGATAGTATAATGTAATTTCCTTATAATTATACAATTTGATGTTCTGATCAAATGAAATGTTAGTGATCTGATTGTGTATTTTCTTTTCTTATTTATATTATGAAGTATGCGTGTACGCACAAACCTTGGTGAATCAAAAAGGCCCTCAGCTTCAAACGATCCACAATCAACAATAGATGGTCCAGTTGGTGATGAAAAGTAAGTAATGCTTTAATTAATTTACAAATTTACGTGTGTTCTTCATACAAACATTGTGAATTGTTGTAATTGCTTACGAGTTCATTCGTTGTTTGCAAAGAGTGTTCACGTAGACTATGGTTAAATCATTTAAACAGTGTTAGCCCATAAGCTACCACTTTCTCTTCACGTAATCACCTACATGTTACTGTTGGGCACCCAACTCGACGCTTCTCATTTGTGCTACACTGGAGAGCATGGTGTGTAATGTCACTTGAAGGTCTCTTCGGAGTATGCTCAGTGCACTTCTATTTCCTTTTGCATTATCGGACAGGAAATCGGTTCCTACTAGATATGATCTTTCGATGCTGCTGGTGGTATCATGATAGCCACTCTCTTACTGTTTTCATTCCTAGCGTTTGGGAAACAGGAGTAGATTATTCACTCTCCAGTCAAGAATTTGGAGACACCATACCTATTCCACATGCTCACACAGATTCTTAGCACTTCAATAGCACATCTTCCGATTTCTTTTGAAATCTGAGCAGCCTTGCTAGCTTAAAACATTACGCGGACATTCCATGTCCAGATGCTTACTTTTGTTTTCATCGAAGGGAGATATGTCGGTCGACTGGCTTTCCGAAAACTTTCATCAGCCGGCGTCATAATTCCTCATCGATTTCGATGAGAATAAGTCCACTCTTACCGTGTGTTAAAGTTTCATTAGCTATTGGGTTATATTTTTACGAGGTGGGGTGGCTAGTCCCACACCTAATTTCTCCTCATTTCTGAGCTTAGAATTAACCAGTAAAATAGGTGAGGTTAAGCGTTCTTCTAGCCCTAAGCAAATACTTTGAATCTGTGCAATTATGGGTAGTATATATATATATATATATATATATATATATATATATAACATAGGGCCTGAATTTCAAGGTGTACGATGTAAGTAAGCGTCTTTGCACGTAATCAGGAGGTGAAGATCCTTATGTCTACATCAATGGCTGATTGTAGGTGTCTTCTGAGAATTCCAGAATTAGTAGTAGAATTTGTCAATGAGCTTATCATGTATCTTCACTGTCCGATAGCTGTCCATTTTAGCCTGATGCAGAGTGACAGGAAGGATCCAAAACTGTGATCAACATTATAAGTTAATGCCTGCACAAAGGTAGAAATGTTAATTCCGCAAATCTAGATTTAGTTCACGTTGTGAACACGGACTAATCTCATTGGAAAATCTGTTTAACCTTGAGCCAATCACCAACCAATCAGAACAATCTATTTTACCATGACTTAGCTGAACGTTAATGTGGCTACGAATATATGAATATGGTGTGTTTTGTCTTAATTATAGTCGGTTACTAAGTCTCTTATCTTCTCCAGTTACACCACAATATAGTCGGTGATATATGATTGACTTTCTATGGCTAATATTATTTGGGTTTATAACTGTAGAACCTGTAGAATAACTGTTCGTTCAAATGATTCATATTGTGGAAAAATTACAGGGAAATTCAAATTACCTAACCTTTCGTCATGTACACGAAGCTCTCCAGGAATGCTTAACATCCAGAAGATGAGAATTGTCTAGTACACTAATGAATAAAGATAAAAAATAACACATTAGAAACCTAGAATCATGAGATGTCTGAGTATAATTGAAATCAGAAATACTTTAGTATGATACATTAATGGGATAAACTTTGATGTAGATTATGTGAAGAACCCACTGAGAGAATTATTGAAAACCTAGAAGTATTGAGCAGTCACTTCACTCCAGTTTAGGACTCTTCATCAGTCCACACTCACGATTTCATAAAAGATTGAACATTAGACTTTCATCTCATGTGACCGATTCGTTGATCATTCATTCACGCGGTTCGGAGTTCAGTGACCTGGGTATTTTAACTTCTGTTTCTTTGCAATATAGTGCTACCTCCAACCATTGCGAGAGTCGAGCATCCGCTTTAACTTGACACGATAGACGCAAAAATTTCAGTAAATATCCTTGGTTTTCAGTGACCTTCTAACTATGTTGATTTGCAATGAAGTCTATATTAAAATTAATCTAAATCTCTTTTCAAAAATTATAATATAAATTAGATAAACAGAACATCTATGGTTAAAAATAAAGAACTCAAACATTTGCATAATGAGGTAAAAACTGCTAGAAATAACAAAATACAAGGAAGAGAGAGTGAAGGATATGAGAAATATAAACAGTACGATAACAGTATTAAAATTATAATAGACGAAATAATATATGAAGACAGTTGAGGTATAGTTTCATAAAAATGAACAGTTACGATGACATAATAAACGAGACATAAACTACTTATTACGTAAAAGGTAGTATATAGCTAAATAAAAAAGAAAATATAATAATAAAGGGCAATTAGGAGACAACAATGTCGTTTTTTCAAGGTTTAATCTTAAAGGTTGTTATTCCACATTTGTAATATAAGTCGAAAGCTTCATTTGATCAAACTAACCTCCAAATAAATGATCTAAATAAGGTTATTAGAATACTCATAATCAGAACGTATTTAACAGGTTTATTTTCTTGGACGTCATTATTTAACTCAGTCATGTAAGTCAAAATATGTAAAGCTTCTGATAATTTACTTCTAGAAGTTATTCTTTGACTAGAAAGTTGGAGGCAGTTCAGTAGGAACACTTCTAAATGAAACATTGGATGAAATGTATTTGACTCTATGAAAGAAGAGTCATTCTTCCATATTTTCCAAGAAGTAACGATAAGCCTGAGACCTAAGTACTACACTTTCTGACAACAGCCTCTAATCACTAAAGACAATTTTATCCTGCATTACGACGATGAGTCCCTTAGTTTAGTGCCTGTATGAAAAATTTAGCTAATAGAATCCTACTAGTATTCACCAGCTGCCTTCAATGAATAAGATAACTTATCCCACTTTTTGTATTGACTCATATATGTATGATCACAGCTAAATAAGTATTTAACAACAGCTTGAGTGGTCAGAGTTATTCATTTGCGATTGAGCAAGAGCGTTTTCTCGATTCTTTACAGGTCTGCCTTTTTTTTGATTGCACACTAGTCAGTAACTAGTGTAATGTGATTAGTCCTATCATCGGTGCAGACTGAATTCTATCAGTGAAGCTTGCAATATGGCCACCATCCCACTAAGTGGCTCTCCATCACAGCGCAATTTGAGTTGTTGGAATAAGTTGATGGGAGGCCACCGGCAGGGAGCCTTGTCTGAACTGGGTTTCGTGAATGTTGGCGCTAACCAGCAAGGCATATCTGCAACCTTGAAGGAACTCATGTTCCCTCTGAGATTCGAACCCGCGTCACCCAGTGAGTGCAGCAGTTAAAGACGTTACCATTGAGCTATTCGTGACCGCGATTAACTTCCTGTAGGAATTTATTGGATATTTTTGATTGAATACTAGTCGGCAACTAGTATATTGTGTCTAGTCTTTCAAGGCTGAGGATACACCTTGCTGATGAATGCCAGTTAGCACGAAACCCACGTTGAAGGCTGGGCTTCCTGCAGATTGCTTCCAACCATCTAGTATATATATATATATGTTAGAAATAACTCAAAAATCGAGGTAACTCAGCAAATTATGAAATGGACACTAACGGTATTTTTTTGCTTGCGTTAAATTTTCTTTCTGTGTTTCAATGAGATGAGTAATTCAATCCAACCGTCTACTACCTGAACTACAAAACTTATCTTCCTCTAACCCGATCATCTTTTCATTGATTCACCACAATTAATCACCACTAGTTGTTACATGAGTAAATGACATATTCGTCTCCATCTACATGATACCTGAGAATAACCTAATGCGATTTCAGTGAAATAGAAACATAATTAGCTATCGAGTTGCACAGCTCAACTGGTAGACTGCCACATTGGTAATTCATAGGTCACGAGTTCGAATTCCGCATTGATTCATACTTTCATTCTATCTTCAGTTATCACCATGCTACTACATCACTGAAAGTCCACCAACCTAAAAACTACCTTACTACCAAATGAATAATTGCTTCTATTTTTTTTCTGCTATTTTAGAATTACACTGGAAGAATTAAGAAAGTGGGCAGAATCATTTGATATATTAATGAGAAGTTCAGGTGAGTATGTTTTAATCATTGGATGGTTTATAATGCGTACTAATTGACAAATTATCATTTTAGTTTAATGTTAGAAACCAAACACCCTTCAGTTCATAGAGTAGAATCGATTTCTTACTGTAAAACAACATAATGATTGTCAGTATGAAGCTGTATGGTACATATATACTACTGAGTAAAATCAGTAGTGTCGAGCTGAATCATAAGCGATTTATTAGGATGGATTCCAATGAAACAGACAGACTGTTTAAATTGTCCAACCCGTACATCGTCAGTTGTAGATGTAACTATAAACCACCTCTAGACGTAATGATAGAACATTTTTCATACTATACGATAGCCAGAACAATTTTCTGCTAGATTTACACTGTCCTTTTGTCGAACATATTTCTTTTTTAGAGGGAACCAACGACAGTTTGTGCTATTTCATTCAGTTAGGCGAAAGAGTTCCCTTTAGTTACAAGATTTCATCATCAGCTGACATTGGTTAGAGAGCCATCGGAAGACATTAGAGTAATAGACGGCCGTTCCATTCTAATCTGGATTCTTCATCAGAACGGGGTTCGAACCCACGACCTTCCGGCTATAGGGTGACCTGGTAGACGACTAAGCCACCGGGATTCGACTGAATGGCCTATGGATGCTGAAGAGTCCCAAACTAGGACGATAGTTCTTTAATCGATGTCAACCTATGGCAAAACCCTTTAACCAGTTAAATCAAATCTCTACAAACCAGCAATTGAAAAGAATTTTCATTTTTTACTATTTTCTTTTTGTGTATGTACCAATTCTATCTAACCTTTACTTTCTTGCCAATAATAATAATGATAATTTAGGTGGTCAAAAAACATTCCGTGAATTCCTACGATCAGAATATAGTGAAGAGAATATTATGTTTTGGCTTGCCTGTGAAGATATACGCAAAGAGAATAATCCAGAAATTGTTGAAGAAAAAGCTCGTATCATTTATGAAGATTTTATTTCAATCTTATCACCACGTGAAGTAAGTTTTTTACTTTCTTAAAAAAATTATAATTATCACTTTATAAAAACATTTTTCTGAAGCCTGACCACAAAGTGACATCTGTTAGAGAGCTACTGAAAATAAAGTAAGTACCCTGGATACCTGCTTCGTCCCAGTTTGGGTCCATTCAGAAGGAAGTACACACACACCCTATTGGGGATCTAATTCGCTACCGTTGGGTACCACTTGTTTGAAACCAAAGGGTCTACGAATTCCAACTTCTGCTAATTCGTGACAATTAGCCCCCCCCCTTCTCACTAAACAGTGTTATCAGAAAGTATTTGTCCTTACACCCGACTTGGTGTTTCAAACTAGCCACGATTTCTCCTGGAAGCCAGACATGTAGTCATATACCTGGGAGCGTTAGAATGGATTCCAAGTGTTGCCCTGTGCAGATTTGACCGATTTAGAGTCTAATGTCGACAGACAACCGCCGCTATTTCATTCTAGTTCTAGACTCGTCAAGAATGCGCATCCATAATCCCACTAAAAGTCGAACTAGAATTTTCAGATTGTGTACTATTGAAGAGTCCCAAATTAAGACTGAATGGTTGCTCAATACTCGCGGTTTTTCTTAGTGTTGCTCTAATTGATGTTAGTTCATGAGTGAGCTTGCCACCGATCAGATCCCTACAAAGCAACATTTGGGAAACATTTTCCTAGTTACTTTTGTGTTTATGTGAACTTTGAGTTGAATGTTTTAACTTCGAAGCTTTCAGATGAAGTCTAGAAGGAAAATTAAAGCCATGGAAGTAAAACAATACAGCACTATCCAAAATACCTTCATGAGTGCTAGAAACCTGCGCCATTATTTCCGCTCTTCATTTTGGGGAAAGAATAAAGTGTAGCGACCAAATTTAATTAAGTTATGGCCTGAAAGAAAAAAAGGGATGTCTACGTTCTACTGTATTTTTTATTATTATATTCCCTTGCGTCCCGAGTGGAGCATGGGTCTTCAACAGCGCATCTCCACTTTGTTCTGTTTTCTGCCGTCCTCTTCAGCTGGTTCCACGATTAATCCAGCTGTCTGTGCGTCGGTGGCACAGTGGTTAGGACTCTCGCCGACCATGCACATGGTCCGGGGTTCGAGCTCACGCCGACGCACACCTGATATCTATGGTCGGCCTGCAAAATTTGGGCTACCGATATCCATGATGTAAATTCCATACTTGTACCAAAAATACAGTGTGGAATCAAGCTGTAATCAAAATAAATAAATAAATAAATAAAATCTCTTCCTTACACGATCTTTTCCATGTCACACTCGCACTGACGATCCACTCGTCGCTTCCTATCGGAATTCCACTCGAGTGCCTAGTACGCATTGTCATTCGATGGCTTTATCAACGCATGCCCAAACCATCTTCACTTTCTCCTACATATTTGTCGACCAGTTGGCCCTTGGTTTGTTCCCATAGCTTCTTGTTGTTTATTCTTTCTGGCCATTTGATCTTCAGTATAGAGCCGGCCAGCGAAGTGGGTAGCTGTTGATGAAAATTTGCAATCTGTTGGAAATCCTTTTTGAGACACGCAGTACAAGATTCTGACCCGTATAGATGAACTGACTTCACATTGGCGTTGAAAATGTGAATCTTGTTCCTTATGCTGAGTGCGGAAAACTTCCAAACTGGTTTCAGGTCGATGAAGGCGTATCTTGCCTTCCTTTTGAGTTGAACCTTGCTAACATAATCCTGTGGGATGAAATTGGTTCTCACTGCATTATGGGGTTTTATCTACCACTGGTGACATCATGATAGCCACTCCCTCAGCGTGTTCGTGATTGTCGTCTGGGCAACCAAAGTAGATTACTGACTCTTCAGTTGACAATTTGACAGCCTACATCCATTCCAGCTGGTCTCGCAGATATCCGGTACTTCTGTGCCGTATCTCCGCATTTCGCTGGCTACATGAGCAGCCTTCTCAGTCTCGTACACTGTAGGTACCTTCCACGTCCCCATTCTTATTTTTGTTTTCTTCTAAAGAAAAGACATCGGTTGACTGACTGGCTTCCTGAAGGCTTTCATCCGCCCACCTCATTTCGCCTCTTCGATTCGAGCGAATAATAGGATTTTTATTTAAAAATTTTGTATTTTTCATATATATATTTTTTGTGTGTTGAAGTTATTCTAGTCGCAAGTTTCACGCCCAACTCTTTCTCTTTAACCGGGTTTGGGACCGACTAAAAAAATAGCAAGCTAGTTGAAAATAGGCGAGGTTACGTTCTACTGTATGGCTGGCAAAACTTCATTGAGATACGCGCTATGATTAAACATTCCAACCACAGGAAAAAGACGACTATTTTTCAGTATTTTAACAGTTCTGTCAAACAATAATAACATTTAATTGAAATTTACCTCAACAGTACTGTGAGACAGTTGTACAGTCAAGTATAAGCATAAAACGAGCATTTAGAATTAAGTAGAATATTCCGAAGGAAGTGAGACCGAAACCTTTGTCCACAAGAAACACACACCAGGACTTTTTGCAGACAGCCCTGTATCAGGATGACATTCATTCACTCAAACAAACTCACATCGTTAAATAATGCCTTGTCACTGTACACAAAACCACAGGAAGTATTACAATCAAAGATTAAATAAGGACAAAGGCGAAGAATAATAGTCAGAATCAACAGGTGGTATGCAAGTGTCACACTAATCATACACATTGGATCGGATCCCAGTGGCTTAATGGCCTATGAGCTTGATAACCTTGTAACTAGAAGATGCTGGGTACGAAAATCCTGTGGCGGGTGAGTACTGATGAAGAGTCCCAAACTAGGGCGAAACTGCTTTCCAGTACTCCTAGGTTTTCCAATGTCTCTCTAACCAATGTCAGAGCTTAGTTTATTGCTTACACACACACATGTCAAATTATTATGGAAGACACCTGCAAAGAATTCCTTCAGTTGATTTTCACGAATGTATTTCGAAGCATTCTTTTAATTTTTTTAATGATTGAAATATGAGTGATAAAATGTACTCAAAAAGTCCATTATAAATAAGATTTTATTTTGATAAACTGTCACACAGTGTTGTTATACAATAATATTAACTGATGACCACTTTTCGAGCACAATTTATTACTGCTCATAATCACATCAAGGCACTACTCACACATAATGTTCCTGCTTCCTTTATATACATTAGCGTAACTGATTAGAGATTTGAGTAAAAATCAATACAAGATAAAGTACATTCGTAAATAATATTATTCGTGTTATCAATCAAATAAAACATGATGGCAAATAAGATGTTTTTATAGTGAAAATAAGTAACTTGTTAGAATGTCATAGCGTATGTGAAATGAAATAGAATTTTAAGAATATATAGTATCCTCCTCTGATTTGACTGGTGGTAATAATATCTTCCATATCTCTGGTATTTGCATTGAGTCACTTCTGTTTCATGTGTTGGGTGTAGATTATTCGATAAACCAGGATTCAGGGATCGATCTCACACTCCACCTACCTATATTACTTTTTACAATTTTGACACTGTCCCACCCACCCTGTTGTGTGGTTGTGTATTAATGCATGCGGTGGCAATTTCTGAGTTTTTTCCTAAATTACTTATCTTCGTGGGATCAATCATTCTAACCTTAGCTAAATTCCTATGTTCTGACAATCTGACTACCCCGACCTACTAGTTTCACCTGTGTAGTTGACCTAACTCACAGTCATTGGTAGGTATTTTGTAAATTATATCATTCTGTTTGATTGGGTCCACCGGGTCTTTTAGCCTACAGAGCTTGTCCTACCTGAGTGAATTTGTAGGTTTGAATGCCAATTTACTTCCTGATTTATTGAGAATCCTACGTAGGACTTTAGATGTCCCCTCGTAATATGGTATAACACTGCATGCCTTATATTCTGTCTTGTTTATGTTATCATTACTAGTTTCACAATTATTTTTATTTTGCTTTTAACCTTTTCTGATCTTCCTAATGAATTGGATAGGATAGTTAATTAGTTAGTTATTTAACACCAACCAGCCATTCTTCTATCTGTTTTATTTCATCATTTAGGTCTTTCTTTTTGCTACTTAGTGCTACTGCTCGGTTTGTTAGACACTTAACTAAGCCTGCCTTCATAGACAGATAACGGATGAGATGAATTAAAGTCTAGATATCCAATATTGGAATGCGTTGGCTCTTTATAAACACTAATGTGCAGTTTACCTTCTCCTGTTCGTTTTATTTTACAATCTAAAGTCATAGATAATTCTCTTTGTCCAATTTCCAATTCAAATGTGAACTTTATCCCCATTTACTAGTGAGTTTATACGAGTCAAGAATCTTATCCATAATGGAGCTATACTCTGCCACAATACCCTCCAAGTTTTATACTTGTATCAATACTGTACTACCCTGCGCTCGTCAAATAAACATATCTAATATTGTGAAGCAACTCCTGGAAACTAAAGTGTAAACGGCAGATTTAACGTTTATAGTTTATTGTCCTTCAACATCAATGCTTCTTTGACATTATACCTATCATCTAAAGAGTCTCCTGGTCCTGAAAACAAATTCTTATTGAATGCTTGATAAACACGCCTAACTTTACATTGATATTTTTTCACAAATCGAAAACGACCCAGTCCAGAGAACATCACAACACACCAAAATATTCCCTCTACTATTTGCAATTAGTAGTCTTCTCTGAGCTGGTTGATTTAGTTGCAGAGCTTTCGTCGTTCTTCTGGAAAACATCCTCAGAGCAATTTTTAGCATAAAGAAAACTGATTTAAATTTTCCATGAGTGATATAATTGCGTCTCCCGGTAACCAACCATCTTTACATCTATATTGGTCATTCTCTATTGACTTGGGTTTTAAACTTTCTGGTCACATGATCTACTTTTTATTAGTTGGTATATTTGGTCAATATTAACGTGTTTGTTAATTGCATATTCGTTTAAGTGCCAGGCTTGTAGGAATTCCCTGGCACTTTTGGTGTTCCTGGATTCTGATTCGAAGGGA